CCTGATGCCTCTAAGAGACCCATCTTAGATAGAGATACACACAAACTAAAAATAAAAAGATGGAAAAAGATATTTCATGCAAATGGAAAATGAAAAAAAGTGGAGTAACAGTACTTATATCCAACAAAACAGACTTTAAACCAAGGCTATGGTAAGAGACAAAGAAGGTTAGAGTGTCTTAAGAGACACTCTATAAAGATAATGAGAACAATCTAACAAGAGGATATAATCCCAGTAAACATTTCTGCACAAAAATAGGAGCACATAAATACATAAAGCAGATTCTGATGGAAATAAAGAAAGAGATTGGCAGAAGTACATCATAGTTGAAAATTTTAACACCTCATTGACTTCAGTTGCCAGATTGTCTAGGCAGAAAATCAACAAGGAGACAGTGGTCTTGAATGACACATTAGATCAAATGGATTTAGCTGATAGCCCCAGAGCATTTCACCCCAAAGCAGCAGAATATACATAATTTTCAAGTACACATGGAATGCTTTCTAAGGCCACATATAGGATACAAAACAAGTCTCAATGAATTTAAAAAGATTGAAATTACTTCAAGTATCTTGTCTGGCCATAATGCTATGAAACTAGAAATTAATCATAAGAAGAACACTGAAAAACAAGGAAAAACATGGTAGCTCAATAACATGTTATTAAATAATGAATGTGTCAACAAGATCAGGAAGAAATCAAAGATACCTCAAAACAAATGAAAATGAGGACACAACAATCTAAAATCTGTGGGACACTGAGAAAGCAATTCTAAGAGGGAAATTCATAATATTACAGGTCAAGAAACAAAAAAACCTCAAATAAACAATCTAACTTTACACTTAAAGGAACTTGAAAAAGAACAACAAATAAAGCCCAAGGTAGGTAGAAAGAAGGAAAGTATTCAACCTAAATTTTTTTGCACAGCAAAGTAAATCATCAACAAAATAAAAGGCCAGCCCACAGAATGGGAGAATATATTTGCCAATACATCTGATAAGGAGTTAATATCCAAAATTTATAAAGTACTGACAAAACTCAACACCCAAAAAACAAGCAATCCAATTAAAATATGGACAAAGGACCTGAATAGACACTTCTTCAAAGAGAACATATGGAAGGCCAATAGACATATGAAAAAGATGTTCAATATCACTAATCATCAGAGAAATGCAAATCAAATCCACGACGAGATACTAGCTCACCCCTGTCAGAATGGTCTTCATCAATAAATCAACAAACAATAAGTGCTGGTGAGGATGTGGAGAAAAGGGAACCCTAGTGCATTGTTGGTGGGAATGCAGACTAGTGCAGCCACTGTGGAAAGTGGTATGGAGATACCTCAAAAAACTAAAAAAGGATCTGCCTTTTGACCCAGCAGTCCCACTTCTGGAAATATATCTGAAGGAACCCAACAACGCCAATTCAAAAGGACATAAGCACCCCTACAGTCATTGCAGCATTATTTACAATTGCCAAGATGTGAAAGCAGTCTAAAATTTCATCAGTAGATGTAAACAACCGTGGAATATTTACACATTGGAATACCTGGCCATTAAAAATTACCCTTTGTGACAGTGTATATGTATTTGGAGAACATTATGCTAAGTTAAATAAGCCAGTTAGAGAAAGACAAATATCATATGATTTCATTCATAGGTAGAAGGTAGTGAAAAATGGGGACAGAATCATAGATGGAGAGAAGGATGACAGCTAGTTGGAGGTGGGGAGGTTAGGATTGGAGAAATTCAGCCAAAATTCAAGAAGGACATGGACAACAGTGTGGTAATTACTAGGAGGAGGAAGGTATAAGAAGACTAAATGCTAATGGAAAAATAATAAAATTAAGGTTAAAAATAAATTAAAAATTTGATTTTACAATGTTACTTTCACTGGTGTTACAAAGAGACATTAGTGCATTGCTGATTCTTATTAGCATATTTTCTTATGTTAACAATAAAAACCTAGATGTTTGAGAATCCAGTATGCTGGATAGTTTCAAGCATCTCAATCAGAGTGAACCATTAGAGTTAAGAAAAAATAACCATCCTCTGTTTTACACTAGTCATTTTCCACATGTTAACACATACCTTTCCTGACCAAAAAAATCTACTCTGGGAATAAAGGATGGTCTGTGTCTGTGAATCCATCATCAAAGCAGAGAAAATGACCTATTGGAGGCAGAGGACCTGGTCTCATCCAACAAGAAATGCAGGCACTCGAGTATAGTTTAAAAATGTGAGTAGAAGGGACCAATGGCTTCAAAGCAGGGGCTATTTTGTGAAGCTTCTTTAGTAAAAGAGAAACAAGTGAGCAAAAATAAATAAGAAATCTAACAACCCCCAAATTTATACATGTATATAATTAAAAAGAGGTTCATAAAAAATAGTAAAAGGCAGACAACTGAACTTGAACAATAGAAATAAATAAACAATCTTTATTACGTTCTATTTGATAACTATCTAAAGCAATTTTTATGATTACCCTTAAAAAGGCATTGTAAAAGAATATATGCTACAGAGAATATAACCTTCACACATTCAGAAAACCTACCTATAAAACCTAAATTGTTTCATATCTCTGAACATTTATTTCATATGATCTATAAGAAACAATATGTAGTTTTCCTCATATCTTTCTCTTTTCTGTTAATACACTTACCCTTAATTACTTCTATTACTACTATTCCTGTGAACATAGGCTTCCCAATTTTTTTTTATATTTACAAACTCAAGAAAGTAAACCATAGCTTTCTCAAGCTGTTAAATCTAAATCTTTTGGCCAGCAGGTTCTCCACCTCATAGTTTTACCCTCCATGTCATTACCTCCCACTGCTTTATTTTTTTAATTAAATCATTTTATTGTTATTCTATTACAGTTGTACCAGTTTTTCTTTCTTCACCCTCCTCCACACATCCTGCTGCTTTCTAACACTAGCCTGAACTCCAACCCCGGCCAACTGTTTTCCTTTGTTTTTTATTGCCTTTGTATACTATGCTTTCTCAACCAACTACTGTGAAATAATAGGACCAGACTTACTGGTCTCTGCCCCTCAGTTTCTGGCACAGACCTCTTAGATTCCTTGGAATATTCTGGGTGACAGGAAAGTCTTTTGTTCTAATGAGGCAAATGGTGGGTTCCTGGAGGAAGGGTCATCATTGGAAGGATCAAGCCATGATTAGAGGCTTGGAGCTTCCATCCCTGCCACTCACCTTTTAGGAAGGGAAGAAGGGCTAGAGATTTAGTTAATGATGAATCATGCCAATGTGCTGAAGCCTCCGTAAAATGGCAAAAGTGTGGGGTACAAAGAAATTCTGAATTGGTGAACACAACTACGTAGAAGGTAGTGTACCCCAACTCTACAGACACAGAAGCTCCTGCTCTCAGGACCCTTCTGGGCCTTGCCTTATGTATCTTTTTGTATGGTTGTTCATCTATATCTTTGACCATATCTTTATTATGTAGTAAACTGGTAACATAAGTAAGTGTTTTTCTGAGTTCTGTGAGCTGTGCTAGCAAATAATTAAATTCCAGGCAAGGGGTTGCAGGAATCTTCTACCGGTGGCCAAGTCAGAAGGAAATTATGGATAATCTGGGGGCCAACTCCCTGCAAAGAAAATCTCAGGTGGGAAGTGGGATGTCTCATTGGACTGAGCCCTTTAATCCATGAGATGTGAACCATATCGAGGTAATGTCAGAATTTAACTGAATTGTAGGACAACTGGCTGGTGTCAGAGAGACTTACTTGATGTAGGAAAAGAATTCACACATCAGGTGTCAAAAGTGTGGGAGTGTGGCAGTAGTGTGATAGTAACAGAAAAACACACGGAAGTAAGTTTTCCTTACACCCACTTTTATCTTTTTCCAGTTATCCAACCCTAACCCTTCTTCAAAGTACAAGTTCTGGAATCCCTTCGTTCATGACGTGTGCCCTGACCCCCTTTGGCTGTAGGGGAAGGGTGTTTCAGAGCACTTTCTTGAGGATCGATTCTAAGTTTTGCACTTGCCTTAGTGAGGCAATTCTGTAACCTCGTATTATCTTTTTAAAAAATTCCTGAAGCAAGCACATGTGGGTTTCCTTTTTGCTACCAAAGAACTTTGAGTGATATATGTAGCTTGGGAAACTGAAATGTGACCAGTAGAAACTGAAATGTGCTGTTAACAGAAAATGCACACACAATCTCAAAGGCTCAATATAAAAATCTAAACTATCAATGTGTTTCTACATTGAATACACATTTCCATAGTATTTGTATGTATTGTTAGACAGCATTATTAAAATTATTTTTTTTTTACATTTTTAATGTGTCATCTGGAAAATTTTATATTACTTCTGTAGCTCACATGATATTGCATTAAAAACACTGATTTAAAATGATTTATGTTCTTAATCTGGAGACATGGGAATAAAATATTATTTCCTGAAATTTTGTGCATTTATTAAAAAATTTACAGTTGTATCCCGTATATTTAGAACCACTCTCTGTACCTGGGTATTGATATTTTAAAAAGTGTTTTCTAAAAGCTTTCTCTGTTTATGCTTTACAAGATTAGATCCATTCCTATGTTATTCTCAGATATACAATTATATTTAAGTTAATGAAGAAAATAAAACAACCCAAAATAAAACAATTATTTGACCATATGTGCTCTATGGCAAATTTTCAGTGATTAAAGTGTTAAAGCTGAAACATTAATTTTTTTCATTCTACTTCAATCACTGAAAAGATTTACCTATTTGAATGCAAATCACTTTAATCTTCAGACTCAAAAACATGATAAGGTATTTTTGTTATAAGTTGCCATTTAAAAAAATATATCATTTTTCAAAATTTCAACCTAAGAAGATTAAAAATTAGCAAGTATTTGTGAGAGGATTTAGTATAAAATGACTAACTCAATCTCTAAATACATTAAAAATATAAATATTTTATGAGTTTCCATTGCAAATTCATACTATGCACCAAAGAGAATTTATCATCAATACAAGCAGTACTTGCCTGATACTCTTGCAGGTTTTTCTGTTTAAAGCAAAAACCAAAAAACAAGTTCTGTTTAACTCAGATAAATGATCAATGCAAAGAATTATACATAAAAAATGTATAGAAAAAGTTTTTAATATCTTTTGACTTTTTCTTATTGTCTAAGAGTTAATGAAGAAATATAGCTCTCTATTGCCTGATAACAGGGGTCTTTGAATATCTTAATTGCTTTTATGAGTTATATTAAAAAAGCTATTAATCACTGCAGGTGTCACAACATATTTATGCTTTCTACACACTAAAATCAGCAGGATCTTTTTAGAATTAAGTCTGTTGGTTCGATTATAATTATACCTAATTTGTAAATAATTACTTCATATGATGTGATTAATCTAAATATTTGCTTGAAAGTTTCCAAATTTTGTAAAAATACATCACTGAGAATTAGTTTCCTTTCAAAGATGAATAAAGACAAATAATTACCAATAGTACTGAAAAATCAAATCTTAAAAAGCAACATGCAAAATCAGTTTAATTTTTTATAACTGGTTATTAGTTTCAATGAGAAATTATAATTCTTCAAAGTAATATGGTTTTCCATTAAACTGCATTGTGTAGGGCAATGATATATAAAGTGAGATGATTGTCCCAAATACTGTAGCAGGCATTCTAACTTCTTGAAAAAGAAGAGGATTGGTACATCTATATTCTACCAACATTAGTCTAATACAAAAGCGTAAGCTCAAAAATATTTTTGAAAGGAATCTGCACTATATGATTTACTTTGAGACTCATAGAGCTGGTAATGGAAACATAATTCTGATGTTTCTAAGAGCTACAAATTTATAAACATTAAGTTAATGCCAATAGAAATTTTTTAAAAAAAACATTTTTACTTGGGATACTTATGTTTTCAGTGATATTACAGCAACATGCCTCATATATAAAATTGCAAAACAAATGAAATAATTCAGAAAAATACTTCAGTAAGGCTGATGTGTTATTTTTTTTTTCTAAAAATTCTAGGGTTAGTTGAAAATACAGGAACTTAGAAAAGAATCAAACATTTACAAACTGTCTGTTGAAAGAAGGAATGAATAGAAATGTGCCTATACTCTCACATAGTTCTGGGTTAGACTTGTGCTTTTATACATAAAATGTCCTTGTTACTCTGTATTCATGATATAAAGATCTTAGAAATGACGTACTTTCAGAATAGGATCAAAAGGGCATATCCATGCAAGGTCTGATTTCCTTGCAAAGCCTTCTAGTCGTAGCTTTAATAGCTTTGGGAATAAAGTGGTGTACATTTTATCTTTGGCCTGCCTTGACTGGTAGAAAGTTTCCCCTTGTATTTTTCACAGTGTGATAGGAGAATAAAATATGATGGAAGAGGCTTAACTGGCAAGTCTTTGGCATCATACTGACTTGGAGTCATTTCTTGTCTTTACTATGTAAACTCTCAGATGATAAACTTCTTTTCATCCCACTTTTACACCATCTTTAAACTGCATGTGATAATTGGTCCTATAGAAAGGTTTAAATGAACTAATAATAGAAAGAAATATGGCCATGGGTATTCTAAGTAACTGGTTTCTTCTCATTTTTCTTGCTGGTCATCTTAAAAGATATTAAACAATATTTTGGAGAAAATACTAATATGTAATTTGTATCCTCTGTCTTTTTATAAATTTGGTTTGCTCTCATTCTAAATTTTAGTTCTTAACATTACTCATCATTATGTGTCTAAATTATTAATAATTTTATGTCTAAAAATGCCCTGGCATTTTAGGCATATAGGCTACAGTAATCAGCAAGAGGAAATGGTGCAAAATAAAACACTCCTCCCAACGCACACATGAGATCAATAGAACTACAAATGAGACTACTTGCACACTCGGACAGGAATGAGATAGAAACCAATATTCAATGAGTGACAGCCGAATGTGTAATGGCAAAGGTACATGCGTTATTTTATTGAATACTTATTATGAGCCTTTGGGGAAGTTGCTCTGACTGTTCTATAGATAAAGACACTGGGAATCTGAGCAGTTAAGGAATTTTCTCAAACATCACACAGTTAGATAGAAGCTCAAATTCACATACTATCTCCACAGACCTGTGTTACATCCTTTGGAAAATAAACTATTTACCTGATTCTCTGACTTCTGATGTTTCTGCTTTAGAAAGGAAAAATAAACAATAGGGAAAAAGGAAGAAAAACAAATAATATTTTTCATTTAAATAGCCGATAATTGAGCGTCCATTGTACATATTTCTATTGAATTCTAATAGTAATGAAAATAGAGACCTATACTCAAAATGGAAAGAACATACTAATGATGACTCTTTCTGAAAACTGTAACTGGAAATCTATTTTGAAAATAGAGCAATTTTATAAACACTATTAAACAGTCTATTCACATATGTCAGAGAATTAATCAATTCTAAGTACTTTGGTTGGCTTTCTTAATTATAAATAATTAGATATTATAAATATCCATTATATAAACAAAGATTAAACTTGACCTTCATGTATCCATGAATTCATGGGTTCATTGAATGTACTTATAAAGCAACTATATATATGACTTACTAAGTGCAATGGTGGGATTGTGGAATGAAGTTGAAAAATATCACAGAAATAAACTCAACTCATGGTGACTGCAGTTGGAATAATGAGACAGATGTAAAATGTTATTTGTCCTTAGCCAACGACAATGTAGCATCAGTCTTGTGTTACTTCAGTAAATTTATAGACTAACAATATTTAAAAAATAACGTGTCAGGTTTTTGATAATATACCTTTCCTCACAAATTGGCTGAAAAGAGAACCCAATACACTTAATTTCAATCCTATATATCTTTTTTGAAAGCCATTTTCAAAATTCAGGAAATTGATTAAAATACTTTATAATAATTAAGACAGGAAATAAATAACATTTCACAAGTAAAATGGTATTTGTAAATAATTATATTTTAGAAATATAGAAAGGTATAGATAAATTTCTGAAGTATAGAATTCTATTCTGAAGAAAACTGTAGCTGCATTTATAAGAATATGTCATAACCCTCAAGGACCCAGGTTAGTCCTTGCCATTTACAAACTTCAGATACAAATTCTAGATGCACCCTTGATTGAAATGGACATAATTTTACTCCAGGGTACAGTGTGGGCCATAATTTCACAGTATTAAATAAACATTTCATTTTTGTAAAATTGAACAGCATACATAAAATTTTAAAATTTCATAAATTATTTTATTTTATTGTTTGAACCATCAAAATAAAACCATAATTCTGAAATATTAAAACAGCTTCCATTTCACTTTTGACAAAAATAAGAAAATAAAAAGCTAATGTGTTAAAATGAAATAATTGAAGACATTATGTGTTCTGTATTTTTCTTAACCCAGTAGTGACTATTAAAGGGACTGCCACACTGTGCTTACTCAATACATCCTAAAAAACAACCTGAAGTATACAAAAGAGATATGTAACTGTTTTTATTTTTTCTGCATGTATTAGTTATTGTGTTGAATGTATTAATTTCACAGGTCTGAAACAAAAATTATTTTAGGCATTTCTCATATATTTGATATGGTATAACATCTACTAGGTACTTAATAAATACATGTTTAAGAATTAATAAATATGCACACACTATTCTTTCTCAACAGAGTTATTTGCATAGTTAATGGCATGATGGTTTTTGCATTAATAGACACGCTGTACCTTTTAAATGCACATACAATATAAATTATATATTTAAAATAAAGAACAAGTTATTAAATAATTTAAGAACAAGTTATTAAAATTCTAAAATGTACACTTACTTAGAGTTGGTTTTGATTTCTCTAAAAAAGGAAGAAAAAGAAAATTAGCAATAATTTTCTATCTATAGGTAAAATGTCAGTCACTTTTATTTCCTATTTCTGCTTGTTCCAGTTCAAGTAGGCAAAGGCCAAACTTAATTAAAATGAACACTAAGCAATGAATGTATTTTGACTAATTTATAAGTCATAGTTCCATGAATTTTCCAAAGGAGAAGTTGTAAATTTTCAAAAGATAGATTCTTCATGGGCTCCTTATTCTTGTAAAGCCTCATCTTTGGTTTCACGCAACATGAATGCTCACAATAATTTGAACTCTTTATTGTTTATGAATAGCACAAAATGTATGTTTTGTCACTATCTTTACAGAATACATATTAATATTAATTAATATTAACCATTAAAACTCTTCTAATCTAATTTTGAATGGAGACTTTTACTTTATAAAATGTTAGGAGGAATAAATGAATGGTAGGTAAAAACACAAAGCTATACCATCTAAATATATGATCTGTCTCCATTATAACTTGTCTTCTGAAGTTATTAAATAAAGCATTAATTATACATTCTTATACCACAAGATTTAATTATTCAATAAAATAGCCAACATCCATCTGATTGTGAAGAATTAGAATCATCCAAAATTATGACAACTAATTATTTCATTAACAGTAGGCAGTACAAATTGATACAACTTTTTAAGAGAACAATTAAAAATATCTATAAAAATTACATTTTATTGAAAATTTTTACTTTAAGAATTTTACCTAAAGTTAAACTTACAAAACTATAAAAGGAGATATATTTATTATTGTATATCATTAAGGAAAACCTTCAAAATACATTCTTAAATAGGAAAGTTCAGGGAAAGTGCTATTTATACTGTGCCATAATTTATGTAAAAAAAGTGGAAATATATTATTTGTATGTATGTATGTGTTTATGTACTTATACATACTGCTAGACAGATATATTAAGAATTAACAATGATTACCTACTCAATATTATTAGATATTTTGGGAGTGGGAATTGATATAATAAGAAAAATTTGTATTGTTGGGAGTTCATACATATTAATTGTAATATTTAACAAAGTGTTTGTCAACAATATTATAGCCCCATGTCATATAAACTAGATTTTACAACAAAACTGCAAGACTGAACACTCCCAGAAAATAAAAAAAATTGAAAAGCACTTTTATGTGTTTCTTTAATTTTCAAATTTAATGAAAGTAGTGAATTAAGACAATGTAAACAAAAAAAGCAAAAAACCTGCTTTTATAGGTGGAGATTCTTTTTCTTGATGTTCAACTTTTTCTAAAGAGGGAGAAATCCAAATTAATTGGCAATCCATGGATTATTTATGTTGCAAGTTTTTCTTATTAATATACATACAGGCTATTTTCATTTATATGGGAAGCATGCACCAAAAGTCATTTGCATGTAACTTGGAACACAGAAAGCAGAATGCAATAGAAACACATTAAAAACAAGGTCAGATTCATTTCAGGGCATCTTGTAAGACAGATGTGATGGTACTAGCCATCTTCCTGTTAGGTGATTAGGAAAAAAAAAGTAGAATATGATAAAGAGGGGAATAACAAGAGGATTTTTCTTTCTTTCTTGACTCATTCCTTGGGGACATTTGCCTTCGTATATTACAAATTTCCTTTTTACCTCTTGACTCCTTTCAGTTCTGTTCTTGCTGGTTCAGAAGCAATTTGGTACTGGATATTTGTTTCTTATTGAAAAATTAACCTAGATCACACCTATTCCAAAAAGTACTGCATTGGTATTTTTATTTTTCTGGACCAAATACACTATCTTTCCAGGTCTATTTAGAATTCTCATTGATGAATATAAACTAAGTCTAGTACATGACAAATGGAATAAAAAAGTATAATTGATATACCTGCTAGTCTTCTGAAAAATATTTGAATTAAAAAACTTAGGAGATCTCTCTCTTTCATCAAAAGTGGAATTACAAATGAAGTCATGTTGCATAAATGTTAATATTAAATAGACATGCAAAATGTAAGAAATGAAAAGTTAACATTCAAGTTATTAAACTATCATAGTAATAGCAACAAAATAGCATAATAAATTATAGTACTAATAATATCAAATGGTTTTCAAAATACATGCAACAAGTTCTAGGATAGGACTATTTGGGCTCCATATGGTTGTAGCACATCTCCTGAACATCTTACAGAGCCTTCTAACTGATCTCACCAAATTCAACTTTGGTCCTTGCTAATGCATTTTTATATAGGAGCCAGGGCATATTTTACCAACAGCTGCTACTCATACCTTTATCTAAGCTTCCATTCCACAAATTTATTATTCAAGAACCATCATCACAATTTTGCCACAATTTTGGACATATTTATTACTTTTGTAACAATGAGTAAATATTCATGCCTTCCTGAGCACTATAGTCAGCTTTTAAACTATGAATGACTGTAGCAACCTCTGTATCACTTCTGAACAGTAAAATGGCTGATCTTTAAAGTCTACACTAATGAGAAAATTCCATGATTATAATAACACATCATTAAATGTTTGTAATTTTATGGATTTCTAAATATCAACAAGTGTATTACAATATAATTAATGTTTTTTAAATAAATTAAAACAGCATATGGTTCACAATATTAACAATTGTATAGAATTTCTTACTTTGGTTATTATTTATTATGTTGTGTTAAAAGATTCTCATTTACCTTAACTTCTTAATGTTATAGCCAAAATGTACTCACTATTTTAATGTTAATAATAATAAAACAACTTCTAGATATTTCTTCTGTATAATTAGAGTTAACTATTAATAGTAGTGAAAGAAAGGGATGTTAAATCAAAGCCATAGCAATAACATATCTTTATCACCTATATAGGTATTTTATTCTTAAGCAAGGCTAAAAACAACAGTTTGAAGAAAAGCACGTTATTAAAGTTAAATGACCAAACAATACTGTTCAGGTTTATTCTTTTTGTCTCTTACTTGCTGGTTTAGTCTTGACTGTGGAGAATGGAGAAAAATAAATGCCATGTTGATGAGCATAAACCATAGAAAAATAACTCTAGAATTTATACTTAACTTTCTTAGTTTTTAGATTTTCTTTTTATGCTAAGTTTAATCCATTTGCACTGAGCCCTATTATTTCACTGTCAACAAATAATCACATTACTAGTAAAAAAGTAAGACATATGAAATGTACATAAAATTTTAAACAATTGATGCATTTGGTACGTAAATATTGTACATGGAGCTGCTTTCTTAATAATCCTCAAATACCCACATAACTAATTGAGATACATAGGGGGCCATATAAACACCTTAGGATAAAAGTTAGGGCTCTGTTAACTGAAATAATGAGCTTGGGAAATGGTTTGAATAGAGTAAAATTATTATAAGAGGTAATTTGAAAGGGCCTTACCGATTTTTCTTTCTTTTGTAATAATGGTCTATAATTTCTTTAAATAGTTCTTTCCTCTATTCTATTATATTTCACTGTGAGAAACTGTATTTAAGCCTTTATTATCATGATTATCTCAGTGGAAAGAAATTACTTCACAGACTTTTCCACTGAAATTTTGTGTAAGAGATTGGAAGCTGTAAATCACTGAGGTAAGTAGAATTTTCTGTCGCAGAATCACATGGAAGAGATTCAGGATTTTAAGATGTTAGCAGGAATGGAGACTCGGTTTTCTCCATCAACAGAAGAGACCTCTAGAACTGCAAGAGTGTGTGCCATTCTTTATTTTCCTCACACAAAATAATAAAGGATGGACAGTTGTTCCTTTAATATTACATATTCTGCTGCTCATTTGTTAGGGCAAGTTTCTTTTAAAAGATTTTATATATTTGTTTTTAGAGAGAATAGAAGGAAGGGAGAAAGAGAGAAACATCAATGTGTGGTTGCCTCTCATGTGGCACCCACTGGGGACCCAGCCAGCAGCCCAGACATGGGCCCTGTTTGGGAACCAAACCTGCGACCCTTTGGTTTGCAGCCTGTGTTCAATCCACTGAGTTACACCAGTCAGGGCATTTTAAAAGTTATACAATAACCTAACTGTAGAGTTCTCATAAGAATAAATTATTCCATGTAACACACAAATAGTAGGCAATTTCAGTGTTTTTGTGTCTTTAAAATTCAAGAAAATTGTTTGAGGATAGGATTAAAAACCTAAGAGCACATAATAATCAATATATTACACAGATTTTCTTATGAATTATATGTAACTTAGGTCAATCACACTTTTAAAAAATAAAATGCTACTCCAGTTTTCCAAAGTTGATTTCTGTTGTGCGTGACTTTAGTTATTTATGAGAATTTAGAATCTTAGAATTGATGTCACTAATGGTGTACAAACTTCAATGAAGATGTGTGTGTGTATACCCACATAAAAATAACTGATACGCAGGAGAAAATATAAAATGTCCACTTACCTGTTTTTTCTATTGGGGTAGCTTTTACCTGCTTGACACTTTTTTCTTCTGTGATAAGAAAAAATATTATCACAAGTAGACATTTTAAATGAGTAAGCACAAAATAATGACATTTCAACCTTGATCATTTGTATTTACTTTGAAATAACACCAATGTTGAGAGAAATGTAGCTGTTTCTTTAAGGTAGCAGGTGATGTCTTCCATTTAAATTGGATGGAAGCACAAAGACAACTGGTCCATCTGCAGATGTCCTTTGCAGCTATGTTGCCACAAAAGGTTTCCTAATTCACATCATCCCTTAACCCACCCAAACACTCCTTATCCCTTGCCTTTATTATATTTCATTGTATTTGTCTGCATAGAAATATTGCTTTATAAAACATCTATCCCCCTTTCATTATCACATTAGAATAATAAAAAAACATTTTTAAAAATCTTTTTCATGCAAGGTGCCTCCCTGGGAACCCAAGGACTAGCCTGGGAACTCAAGTTTTCCATGTATAGAGCTGGGGCAGGGCAAACAGTATGTTTATGGGGTGTCTTCTGCTCTCTATGTTTTTATGGACATACTCAAAGGTTTGGGTCAAAGTAGAGAGATAATTATGATGATCCTATATAAAGTTAAACTTTTCAAGTAATCAGCTGGTCAAATATTCATGTGGGAAAGCTTTTATTGGGAAACAGAATTCAAAGAATATAAATGTTACTACTGAAATAAAAGAAAGGTGTGATGAGAAAAATAATGCATTTGCCATACAGTCAAAGACTAAAATCTCTTATGGTCTCTGTAATTTCACTTCAAAATGACCAACATCAGGAACAGTGAAGAAAATAACAGGTTTTCATTATTGCTTAAGAATCGTTTCTAAGGTTTTACTTATGTTGATACAGATAGCTATTCTCTCCTTCCCACGTTCCTGCTCTGCTTTCCTTATTTCTATGGTGTCTGTTGTTGATACTTCATATTTTTAAAAACATAAGCAAATAAAATCATTCTGACTCAGAACCATTGTAAACAGATTCTCGAAAATAAAGGGTTTCCTAAGATATGTTTAGAAAAAAAATGTTTTTAGCTTTTTAAAGATTCTGGAAAACACATGTTCAGAGCATTGTGTAAATAAGTCAGCAAGAAATGAAGGACTAAATTCTATAGAATAACTAAAGTATGGGGTTTCCTCAAGATTAAGTTGTTACTTAATTGACTTAAATTAAAACAAAATATCTTGTCTTAAATAAAAACTAATTAATAAACATCCTGGTAACTTCTGCATTCATCTTTATGAACAGAACACATTGGCTTACCTATATCTGGTCCAAAATGTAAGATCAGAAATTTTAAAAAAATGGAAAAGAAATGAAGATGGAGTAAGGAAGAAAGGAGGAAAGGAAGTATGGTGAAATGTTGATTTCCTTTCCTTTTTTTTTTTTGAGTCTAAGATGGTCACGTTTAAATGAGTAAACCTGATTTACAAACGTTTTATAAGGATCTCTTGCCCCAACGGAGTAAGAAAAAATAATATATAGACCTCATTCGCCTGAGTACTGGTGATGATGTCTTTGTGCTTTTAGTATCTCTGATGGGAAGCAAGACTAGCTGTGTAGTTACTTGGGACTGGTCAACACATCAGTATAAAAAACATTGTGAGGATGACTAAAACTGGATGTTCTAGCACCTGGGTGACTCCAAATATTAATTCTATTTAATAACTTCATAATTGACTCTAAGTTCTTCATACTTCTAAAACTAGACCACTTAGAGGCAATTTGATACTAAAATACCACCTGCAAAATACCTGTTTTGCCATGAGAAATGGTCTTTTCTGGTTTCACTGTGTCTTTTTCTAAAAATAATGAAAAGAAAATATTTTCAGGTGTTCAGCTCTATACACTAACATACAGTGAATTTTCTTTGTGACTTAGGCCAGAAGACATCAACAACTGTGCCCATGGAGAAAACTTTCTACATGTTCATGTCACCCTTGTGGACATGAAAACCTTGAAGATTTTTGTTGCATAAAAACCTTATGCCAAGAATTCTTATTTACATTTGAGCACCCATGAGAGCCAAAGATCAGGCTGTAATAAAGCATCAATCCTGAAATCAGGAGCTTGGGTAATGGTTGGAATAGAGAACAATGGTCCCGTGGAGTAATGTGAAAATCATGTTATTAAAATACTTTGAAAATTTCTTCATAAATTCTACATGAATATTATAAATAATATTCAAGTGTATACTGCATATTGGAGCCGATTTTAGATGAAGCTAAAGAAATATTTATACATCTAAATAATAACATTCAATTAAATCACTGCAAAAACACACTATTTAATAATAAAAAATAAAAGTTTTAAATGATATTAGGACTAACTAGAAGTTTTAATGGTACTAGGTTTCTGGGAAACAAAATAAAGGCAAGAGGCATATGCAAAGTATTTATATTTTGTAATATGTACTCATCTGCAAGAAATAAATATAGTCAGAAAAATAAGAAAAAATAAATAGATATCTATGAGCTTCGTTACATTGAAAAAATATTGTTTATAAGAGCAACCAGATTCAAGCATATAATCAGTTGCTAAGTAATTCCTTGTAAGAATTAAATGGTTAATACTTTATATATATTTAATATTATACTCAAATGGTTATAATAACCATTATATTATAGTAATGGTTAGTATAGTATTTACTAATTAGTATTATACTAATGGTTATATACTATATATATGTATATATATATGTATATATATATATTCAGATTCTTGACCTTGTTGATATTGAAGAATACTGCTGTATAATTTTATATAACACAGACATCGCTTCTCTAGAGCTGGAGGGTTTTTGTAACTTGCCCCAGGTAAATAGCTAGTTGGTACCAGATCTAGGGCATAAACACTAAATAGCGGTGTACACTTGGAAAGGTCACCCTGATTTTAGGTCAATGTTACCTCAATACAACGATTGTTAATCTGAGACAATCTTTTACTGGGAACAGCTGTGATTTTGAGCAAATCAGACATGGACAAAATCTATTAACTTAAAATATCTGAAAAATAATTTCTGAACTTATTCTATTGAACTGTTTCCACAAATATTAAATATGAGTAATGATTGTCATGTTTCATGTCCCTCATAGTTATGTGATGAAAATAAAAATTTTATGCTCTTCCTTAACTCATAGGTTTTTAATAGTTATTAATTATGTGTAATTGTGTGTAATAATAGTTCTGGTCCTCTTTACCTTTAAACCTCAGTTGTCTATGGTTTTGTGAATTTATGATGCTGGTGTGTTACCAGGAAGAAGGTCACAGATTATACATTATCTTTCTTACTTGGTTTTGAAGAACCCCAAGAGATGCATCCTAAAAATGGGAGTCTTTGCAGAAGCTTAATTAAAGCCATATTTTTGATATTTTTGCTTATGGAATATCCCCATTCTCAGCTAATTTAGCACTATACGTCCAACACACATTGATCAATGGAGTAGAAAAATAATGAGGATCTGGGAAACTCTAAATCTCCACTGATGGGTGGTGAGCCTCTTTTAGTTCTAAAATGAAGATATCAGCTCTATCAATTTAAGAATAAAAAATTTGTTACCTCACCCTGGCTGGCATAGCTCAGTGGATTGAGCACGGGCCTGTGAACCAGAGTATCACAGTTCGATTCCCAGTCAGGGCACATGCCTGGGTTGCAGGCCAGTTCCCAGCAGGGGATGCATAAGAGGCAACCATACATTGATATTTCTCTCCCACTCTTTCTCGTTCCCTTCCCCTCTCTCAAAAAATAAATAAATATAATATTTTTAAAAATTCGTTACCTGATTTTGTTTCTTTTCTAACTTGTGGCTCTGAAGGTAAAACAAAATGCAGAAATTTTAAAATCTGAAAAAACAAACTACAACACAAATTTATTTTGGGGAATTATTTTGTTAACCATAATTGAAAAAGAGGAACTGCACTAAAAATCATTCCAGTTGCATGCTAGTTTCTAAATACTGAACTATTAAACACATAATACTTAGAATCATGCTATGCACTGAGTTTTTGCTACTGCTAATTGATTTTAACCTGAATTTTCTCTTTTCCCAAGATGATTGATGTGGAAAATAGTTTCAATGTCAACATAAGATAAATGATTTGACAACAAGAGTTGGAGAAGTTTCTTTGAAACAGATGTGATTGAGTACTTAGTGATTTAAAAATTTAGAAAAAAAGTATAATGTCTTGGATTGTGTTCCATCAAAAGATGTATTAAAGTCCTAACCCTCTCCCTGTAACCCTGATGTGACCTTATTTGGTAATACGATTGTTGCAGATATAATTAGGTAAGATGAAGTAGTAGTACTGGAGTAGGACTCCAATATCACTAATGTCCTTATTAAAGAAGGAAAAACAGAGCAGCCGAAATGTCCATCAGTAGATGAGTGGGTAGAACAACTGTGGGACATTTACGCGATGGAATACTACTCAGCTATAAAAAAGAAGAAAATTTTACCTTTTGTGACAGAATGGGCAGACCAGAGGAAATAATGCAAAGTGCAATAAGCCAATGAGAGGGAGACAAATACCATATGATTTCACTCCTATGTAGAATTAACTGAACAATCTGAACTAACAAGCAAAGTAGAGGCAAACTCATAGAGAACAGGCTGTTAGCTCTGGGAGGCAGTTATGAGTTGAAGAAGTCAAGCAAAAAATAAAAAGTGGACACAGACAATAATGTGCTGATTGCAGGGAGGAAGGATGTGGGAGGAAGTGGAAGAGGGTATAAAGGGGATAAATAGTAATGGAAAACTAGGATAAAATAAAAAAAATAAAATACATAGCTCTAAGCACACACACACAGACAGACAGGAAGGAGATAGTTATGTGCTAATGGATGCCAAGATTGGAGTGATGCCTCTACAAGCCAAAAAACACCAAGAATTTCTGGCAAACAAAAAAGTCATAATAGATAAGAAAATATTCTTCTCTACAGGCTTCAAAAGAAGTGAGACTCTGCTGACATCTTGATTGTGGACTTCTAGCCTCTAGGACTATGAGAGAATAAATTTCCATTGTTTAAACCTACCTAGTTTGCGGTATTTTATTTCAGCCATCCAAGGAAACTAATAATTTTGGTACTTGGAAGCAGGGTGAGTTGTGTATGGGGTTAAGGCTAGAAATTTTTTGAAGCACTTGATATTAAAAAGCCCAGATGGCCTGGAAAAGATTCTTGACAGAAAATTGACATTAAAGACGTCTGATGATTGAGAAAGGATTGAGGGGAGCTATAGCAGAAGCTTCTGTCTCCTTAGAGAATATGTATCTCATCATGAGCAAAATATTATTAGAAATAAGAATGTTCCATGTACTTCTAAAATCTCAGAAGGAAAGGAGGAACATGTTCTTGGATGATGAAGAAAGAGTGATCTTTGTTATAAAGTAGGAGAGAACTTGGCTGGATTATGCTCTCCTGTGGATTGGAAGGTAGGATTCGTACATGAAGACCTGGATGTTTAGCTGAGGAAGTTTTCAATCAAAGGGCCAAAAGGTCAGCCTAATTTGTCTCTGCTGCTTCTAATAAAATGTGAAAAGGAAGATAAGTTGAGGAATGAACTGTTAAGTAAAAGCAACCAGCATTCGACAAGTTGGAATATTTTCAATCTATCTAAAAAAAGTGAAGAGAGACAGGGCCAAAGGTGTAGCTTGACAAACTTTTGCTAATGTGGGCAAAGAATAAATGGGAGACTTTTGGATCCAATTCACCACCTCAGCAGAAGGACCCAGGAAAGACCTGCAGAGGACTTTTCTGTCCAATGGGTTGGCCCCCCATTAACTAAACTCAAGCCTGGTCATGTTTTTGAGAATATTACATAAGCAGAGGAAATGCAACCTGGATAGAAAGGGACGGAGATGGGATGAAATAAAGGAATGATAACTCTGAGGACAGAACAACAGGTTCAGACCTGGGCTGATGGGGCCTCCTCAGGAGCGGAGGGCAGGCCTTCTACCTCGGTGGGCCCAGAGAAGAGAGCCCCACCCTACCTGGTCCAGAGGAAATAGCATTGGGCCAAAAAGATTTTCTCAGGATTTGAAATCTAATGGAATTTTCCCACTATGTTTTAGATTGACTTCGAAACTGTGACTCATTTTTTTCTTTCCAATTTCTCCCTTTTGGAATAGAAATGTTGATCCTATTTCTGTCCCACTGTTTTATTTTGGAAGCAGTAATTTGTTTTCTAGTTTTATAGATTCACATATGGAGAGGAATTTTCTGCAGGAAGAATCATACCCCAAGTTTTACCCATATCTGACTTACAGAGTGAGATTTGGGACTTTGAACTGATAACATTTTGGATTTGGAGTTGATGCTAAAATGATTGAGACTTAAGGATTGTGTAATGTATTTTGTACCACGTGAGTGACATGAATTGGAAGGTCCCAGAGTGGACCTTTATGACCTGAATTTTGTCTCCCCAAAAGATCTAATAGAGTTCCGATCGCCAGTACCTCAGAATGTGACCTTATATGGAATAGGGTCATTGTAGACACAATGAGTTAAGAATTTATCATATGGCGGTAGGGTGGGTCCTTAATTCAATACGACTAGTATCCTTAAGAGAAAAGGAGAAAAGGTAGATAGAGGCACAAAAAGAGCAGATATCCATGGGATGACAGAAACTAAGACTGGAATGATGCTTTGACCAGCCAGTGAACGCCAGGATTGCTGGCAAACACCGGAAGCCAGAAGATGCAAGGATTGATTCTTCCCTACAGGTGTAAAGAAACTTATGGCCCTGTTGACACCCTGATCTCTGACTTCTCATTTCCAGAGCTATGGGAAGCTGTATTTCTGTGGTTTTAAGCCACCCAGTTTGTGGTATTTTATTAGTGCAGCCCTACAAACAAACAGCAAAAGAACATGAACCAAAATTTAAACTCCTATGAGAATCTGATTTTTTTCTTAAAAAAGTTTCTGCTGCCTTCTAGAGCCCTCAGAAATGTTTATCTTATTCAGAGACCCCCACAGACAGAGAAGAGAAGAGCAGCTATATATTTTTTCTGATGAAATATTTATGTCCCGTATCTGCAAATAAACTGTGGTTTTGTAGGACAGAACTGAATGTCTATTTTTTTCTGTATTATATAAATTTCTCAAGATATTTTTCTCCTAAGAACAGGTAGTCAAAAATATTCACTATGTTAGTTTTATTGCAAAAATTTATCAAGGATAAAATTTTAGAACAATATTTACACTAGGACACAAATTTGCAAAGACATGTTATGCTATTCATCATAAATATGGAATGTAAGTATAAATCTATACATAAAATATACATACCTAGCTTCTCTTCTTTTTTTACTTGTGGTTCTGAAAACATATATACACAGTAATAATGAGGATTATATAAAATATATATTTCTTGTACTCATGCATATAAGGGTGGGGAAAAGTGGGTTTACAGTGGTTTGTATGGAAAGTAATACAACAATTAATAAATAGCAAGACAAGAATAGACCCTGTGTTTCCTGCACTCACAAGGTAAACCTACTTTTGCCAACCTTATTGCTTTTACACATTACTCAGTTTTTCAATATGCCATGTTAATTTTAATCTTATAATTGTAGAATATTAATATAAATAGACAAATAGAAGTTCTTTATTATCATCACAAGAGTTATTTTGAGAAAAAATAAAATGTGAACTACAATTTCTACTGAGAAGTTAATTAAAGGTACCAATTTGTACCTCCAGTGAATAAAGGGTGAAGGAAAATGTTAGCACAGTGTATCTGAGAGGGGCACTTAGCATGATAGGTACATGGTGCACCGGAAATAACTGTCTCATATTTAAACAAAATACTCAGCGATGGAATAATAAAATGATTAAAGGCATGCATGTTTCATTCATTCATTCACGCATTCACTCTGGCATGCACGCTACGTACGTGGGAGCTTAGGCTTGACTTCTTTGCCTAGAAAGAGTTGACAAAATGTAAGGCCAAGTCACTCAGTTCTTACTGAACTATCATTCAATATGATAGAACATCATCAATTTGAAAATCAAAATCAAACAATGTAGACCCTAGCCATTCTTCCTTATTAAAATTTTATAGGCTATGAAATTTAATGTTCACAGCAAGTTACTAATTTAAAACTTATTTTAAATAATAAAACAGTTTAATTTCACTGCATCATTAAAAAATAATTTGTTCACAAACTCATGTGCAATGTTAACTTTTTAATCTTACATTGATAAAGTACATAATACTTTTGAGGCGCTACTTTTAACCTTTATTACTTAAGATGAAAAACCTAAGACAACTTTTAAATTTCCATTGAAATTGTCAAGATGTTATCTGTACCTGTGTAATACATTAAAAATAATTGCTGCTGAATTTGTAATTCTTTATGACTAAAAATGCATAATTTGCTTTTCTGGCATGAGCAACCCTAGTGCAGGAGTTGGTAAATTTACTGTGAGAGGTCAGATATATATTTTTTGGTTTGGGGCCATGTAATCTCCATTGCAGTTACTCACTCTGTTATTGCAGCCCAGAAACAGTGTGCAAATGAATAGGAATGACTATGTTCCCATAAAACTTTATTTACAGACACTAGTGGCCAGCATACAGGCCAATGTTTGATAACTTTGCTCTAGCCATAGTCCATTTTAATTTTCTTTTTTATCTTAACAAAGATTGTGACAGTAAAAAATAAATAAAGGAGGCTGGAAGTCAGCCTCAAATATTCTCTATGCTCTCCCATCCCTACTCAGTTGTTCACAGAATCTTGGTGATTACACATCCTAAATATATCTTGAGTGTACTTCCACTTTTCCACTTGTGCTTCATTTTCTCCTTAGTTTCTACCTACATTCTAGCCTCAATACATCATTTTCATTTCCCAGTTTCCTTCTTTACCTGATGCTCCTTCCCCCTTCTTGCAAGCTTTCACCCACGGTGCTCATTTAAGACTTGGCTCAGCTATTGTATCCTTCTGGCAACCTTTTCTGAGCTCCTTCCAAGATGGGTTATATGTCTCTAATCTTTACTCTTAGAATCCTATGTAAACCATTATTTCTACACATTGTAATTATTTGCAATACTTTGTAATTATTTACTCATGTGTCTTCCCCAAATAATTTGTGAAACTCATTATGCAGGGACTGCAACTATCATCTTAGTATTTTTAGCACTGTGCACGGTCTCAGACGTAGTCAAACTCTGTCCTTAATGAACAAGTGGAAACTCTACAGAAACGGAGTGTTCCTCTATCCAGTAAAGCACAAACTAAACTCACTCTCACTGACAACTTATCAAAGAACCTGCAAATATATTTGAAAAGGGGTTGCAAAGAGTTGTTTTACAAAAGTGGCCCTTCTCTGAAACATATCAACATAAATCTTGTATTTCTTTTCTTTACACAGCAGGTTTTTCAAAATTGTGCGTGGTTGCCTTGCTTTGAGATAATTGAAGATAAAATGTGAAAGATTATGTATGGGATTTCTCATTAATATTGGTTATGGTTATTTCACCGAAGAAGAGGAGAAAATTATACCATGTTTAGGTGTGACTATTGAGTAGTTTTGGTCTGAAATGCTAAATTCATTAAAGACCATTTTCAGTTGCATAGCACTATCTGGCACAGCACGTTTAAATTATTAACATTTACTGAATTGTATTACCCTAAATACCTCTCCATTACATTCTGATTCTCTAAGTGCGTGTTAGAAAAAAAAAAGAAGGAAATAATAAGAAGTGATGTAAGCCCAGTGAGATCTAACCCTTCTTTTTAAAGGTCATGGCATAGAGTAAGGATGGAGTGTTTTTTAGGGGAAAAGCAAAGTAAAATATCTGAACTTTGATGGGCTGTCTGTTTAAAATGCCAGGCACAGCCCAGAGGTACCTTTTTTTCTGCCCTGTACGTTATTGGTCAGAGTGATCTCAGTACCTGAGTCTGACACTATTTCGTACTAAAAACCAGAGACGTGAAAATAGAAGAGATGGGTAGTTCATATTGGTTTTTTTTGCCTATTACACCCAAGTAAATAGTCTCGTTTACCTTCCTTAAGGTGTTTCATGTTATTCAGAGCTAAATTTGAACAGCGTATGAAAGAAATTGTTCCTCATGTTTGTCTAAAAGATGTATTTAAAAATATTTCCTTCTGGAATTTGATTCACTTATTAAATATCATACCTGTTTGAAGCATCACAAGTGTGAAACACTTCTTCACAGGCTTGTGAAATATTCCCATTTAAAAATATCATTGTGTTGATCCATAAATTGAAAAAAATACTTGATCTAAGAGCATTGTTTTAAAAACTGGGTGATATACTCAGTGTTATAAGTAACATGAAAACATGTTAATCATAGAAGAAAGAAAAATGGAGAATAAAATAATCTTAAATAATGAATGAAAATGACATATTTTGGAATGGCGAAGAAGATATAAAGTAAGAAATAATGTTGACATGGGCAAAACTAGATTTTTGTCAATTTTGTAATATTCTATCAGATTAACTCACAAAGCAGCCTAGAAACAGGAGACTAATAGAGTTGACATCTCCACAGGCAAGTGTCTAAAAGCTTCTGAATTTTTGTTTTAATTTAGAAGGGTGAGACCATAAGCTTCCTATGCAGCAAGTCTAAAAGGTGCTATGCAGCACCTTCGCTAGTGCATTGTTTTTGCCAGCCTGGAAGATCTCAATTCAAATCTCATTACTACAACCTTTCTCAATTAGTTTTTAAATTGAATACAATCGAGAAGGAGGATTTTCAGAGGAATCTTTATTAAAGGAGCTAAAAGACCATTTTTTATTTGCCTGAACAAAGAAGAAAACAAACTCTGGGGGAAGACTGAAAATTAAGAATTATGATTTTTGAAATAGTCAGAAATATATTTATTGAAGAGATAAAAAGATGAACTATCTGTATCTTGAATAATAATACTTCATTTACACTAATGCATGAGCAGAATTTAGCAATTTTACATGAAGCTGTCTTTCTGCTTCCTTTTTCTTAATGATGAGGGCTTCCTTAGAATCCACAAGGCATGTATCTCTCCTTTCAACCAGCTGAGAAAAATTGTACCTGACATAAATTTATTCAGCAGTTATTAATAATACTGTACTTGATTGATTAACTGAATTGGCTAAGAAAAATTTCATCTCCTAATCTCAGGAAGATAAATTTATTCAGAAAATTTTCAATTTTAAGACTACAGTACTGACGTCACCAATAAAAATAAAAAAGAGAAGCTTTCAATACATAAGGGGTTAATATTCAGAGGTTAAGCATAAAAAGGGTTACATCTTATTTAATTAAATAAAAATTGCTTTCATTTCCATAAGCTAAATGGCTAACATGGTTCTCTGTCAGATTTTAAAAGACTCTATCACATTTTAATTCTGGAAAATTATCTCATGTACTTATTAGTATACTTTATGTATAGCAGATTCAATATTAATTTGTGCCCAAATCATGATAAGCATTTTAAGTGAAATATTTTAACACAGTTACTCTCATGAGACCCATTTCCCCATTTAATACATTAAGAAACAGGCTTCTGTGTCATTTGACTATATAACTATATTCTTACATTTGTTTATTCAAAAACATTTACTAAGCTCTTACTATGTGCCAGGAACAGTTTCAGGCCCAGGATACAGGAAATAATCCAACAAGAATCCCTACCCTAAAAAACATGTAGCCCTACTGTGTCATTCATATCACTTGGATTTACTGTCTAAATATTACATTAGGTTCTGAATTCCAAATAAGTGCACCACCACACTAACTTTTTTGTTTGTGTGTTTTCCACCAGCATCTCCATCTGAATATTATTCTGAGAATAGAATGGTAATAGAATATTTGAGGTACTATCTTTTGTAGTAAACTATATCCAGAATCTGTTGGCAAGAGAAAGGTACAGTTTATTTAAGGTTACACTTTGTACTTTAAATAAAAGGTTACCTTTTATTTAAGGTACACTTTGATCTTAAGGCCAATGAGGAAAATTTGTGATATTAAGTCTTTCAGTCACTGCCTTACAAATCAAATTGAGTTGTGAGTGATGTCATGGATATGTTGAAAAAAGTCAAGTCCTCCTATTTGTGAACTGGGGATCCATTGGATCTTTATTTCAGCATCTTTGCCTGTAACATGGATAAAATGTTGGGACTTAAATACAAAATCATTACGAGATCAAATTATAGTATGTATATATGTGAGTAAATCCTCTTAGTTAACAGATAAATTACTCTGCCAATGTAATTTTTTTTTATCTTCCAGGATTTGGACTAGTAGGTACTCAATAAATGTCCTTGAACTAACATAGTAGTGATCATTAAATTTTTCTTGATATATTATGTTTGTGGTAACAAACCCTCTTCGAACATTGTAATGGCACATACCTGGTGGCTACTGAATAACATTAGTGTATCTCAGAAACAGTGGTTACCTTGTTGTTTACAGGGATACTTATGAAGTATATACCACCATTGCCACATTCTAGCAATTACTCAGTGCTCAATGTCAGGTTAGCTTAATATATTTTTTTACCTCAAAAATAATGGGCACCTTCTCCCCTAAGGATTTACAGTAGTTTTCTAGCAATTTTGTTGTTATAGGAAAAAATAAAATGAAAATTTGAGATAGCAATGTCCAAGTATAAATTTATTATACATGTGAGCATATCTTCATTGTTCTAATTGCAACACAATTGAACATTGTTTCAAGCCTGTCTCATGTAGATTTTCTAGAATGTTTGTCACTAATTTAAAAAAATTGTTTTTGCTTTACTGTGTCCCAAGATCTTTTAAATCAGTGTAATACATCATTTCTTAGTGTATTCAACTGAACACACCATGTATATATACAAAATTGTTGAATAACTTTAAGAAACATTAGGTGAAAAAAAGTCCAGCTATTCTTTTTACTTTTAAACCTCCCAAATGTATGCATATCTATTATG